CAAATCAAAAAGAATAGTATAAAAATAGCATTTTTTTCAGTTGGAAATTACAATAATGTCAGGAGACAGACTTCTTTCTTTAAGACAACAAACAATTACCATCATATACATTATAATCAAATTTTAGTCTTGTGACGTCACTCTTCCATAATAGTCAATGGTTAATGTCAGTTTGTGATGGCTCCTCAAGAGAAAAATGTCAACTTACGGCATACTACCTTGTGATTAGGACTGAATTAAGTCAGTCTCCGATAAATCATTGAATTTGTAATAACAGATCTAGTTGTTATTGCTTCATACCATCTTGACTTAGGATGTTGCGACCACAATAATTAGTATATATCAAACTATTATGTTTTTAATACTATATAATAACAGCTAGGACCTTAATTATGTTAATAAACTTCATTAGATACAAACATTCTTTCACACTTCCTTGTCCAGACACTTAATCTATATGATTGCCCACAAACTTCTGTACATGGTCGCTAGCCATTTCAGAGATGCACGTCAGATGAGTAAACATACCAACAATGGTTAGTTGATTAAAGATAGTTTGCCAGACAAGAAAAATATACACCTACTAGCAGCTTTGATTTGAAATAAAAATATTTGGCTGTACAGTAGGCCTAACAATCACCAGTATGGAATATTTAAACTTCTTTTGAACTTTTTGCGGTGATACTGAACAATATAAACAATATATCTTCCTTCTGAAAAGAATATATAACCTGGCTTCTAGGTTTACATGCTACAGTTAATTTCCCTGTCAAATTTTGTTCAAGGTATTGATAACTCAATATATATGTTTTACTTGTGACTTCATGATTGTAATCCTAGTGATTACATGTAGACCTTTAGGTTACTTGTAATCTTTGTGTTTCGAAATTTTCTGTCTGTAACATTTTATCATGTAAAATAAAAAAACTGAAGTTTCCAAATTAAAGCAAATATTAGAAAATGTTTTTTTTTACAAATTAAAGAATGCTTTCATACACAAATGTTTTTCAAGGTTTAACTTCAATCTATTTCTGCTAAAATGCAATTCCTCATTGATGGTTCAAACTTTTGGCATCTGTCCATTCACAGAAAGTCTGTCTAGGCTATCCTACTGTCAAATTTCTCATGTGTTTTTTAGTGCAACAAGGTTCATTAAACAGTAGAAGAACTGTCTTATTTAACCTTTTAACCATGACTGCATCATTAATGCGATATGTTATGTCAGTTTTGTTCATCTGATTTGTCAGCTTTATCCCTATTACATACTACTTAACTATATTTATGAGTATGATTGTAATAAACCCAGATAGAGTTGAATTACATTACTGTCTTATATACATTAATCAGACAATAACAGGTCAATTGCTAACTCATTTACAGATGATCCTAACACAGAGTGCTGGTAGTTAACAGAATCAATGGATTGAAACACAACTGTTGTCTTCTTCTGTATTGCTGTAGCATGATCAGATACTTGTTAATCATCAATATTCAATGCAGCAGTGTATGATTATTGATGTGGCTTAGTTTATTTAGATGACACACTGCATATGAAGATTTCAGATACAACTGTTATGAGCAAAAAAACTTTTTCAAACGGTTTTCGTTATTGTTCATTGCTTCATCAAATGTTTACTTCCATCTGGCATAAAAAATTTTCAGATCAAAGTTCTAATTAAAATGAGCTTAAATGATAAAGAGATTTGTCTGCTTTTATCAAATAGATTACCAAATTGTCTAGACAAAATGCAGATAGGTAAAGAGTATGAGAAAAGTAAAAAGCTGCCATGAAATAAATCATTATATGGACATTTAGGCTCTCAGACAACCACTTACCTAAAACATACACTTGTCTTATACACTGATACGTATTTTGTAATCGACCATGTCTGTCTACAATTATTTTTTAAAACAAGTTTTACTATTCAATTCATGAGATCTTCGATGTAATTTTTAGTTGGAGTGTGTATGTGTTAAAAGATACAATTTTTACCAGATATTTGTGTGTTTGGTGTACAGTTTGGAGGTCTAAAATGTGACTAGATATTCTGATACTCATCATGGTTTGCTAACATTTCACAATCAATGTTACTGCAATGAAATCCTTTACTGTGTGGGCATATACTTTATAGTTATTTGACATTATAAGAAATCTTTGAATTAATGTATTTTTATGAGTTTATTACAGAAATGGCTTTTTATTTACATGACTATCAGTGCTTGACAGATTAAAAGCTTTCTCTTATACATACACCTAAAAGAGTCTAGTGCATAGTTAGCTGCCACTTTGTATCTTTTATAATTCAGATCTTTAATATCAAAATAGATGCTTTCGTGACTTTTTTGTGAAAAAGGAAATTGCAATATGAATGTGTTTGACTGTTGAGTGTTAATTTAGGAAAATTTTAAGTAAGGCCTGTCTGCAATCATTTGATTTCCATGGTATGAAGCCAATCACACCAATTTGTAAGGGCCTAGGTCATAAGAAATCAAGAAGCTCCACTTGAAAACTTACTTACTGACCTATCAACTCATATCTACTGCATCTAAAACAGGACATGCTCAAAGGGATCCAAGGAGCTTTGTTGTAAATTGTTTAAACTTTTGTGTCCAAAAAATAGCAGAAGTACAAAAAATTTCATAAAATATTGAAATCTTCTGCTGGAAGCTTTAAAGGGATTGTAAAGAGTGTTTTTAAAATTTTTATGTGTATCAAGGACACTGATAGGATCAATTTACACCATTCCAATTTCCAATCAAACTTCATCAAACATTTTGTTTTAGTGGAATAGCAGGAAGCACAGACGTCTGGTTGGAAATTAGGATGTCGCAAATTGATGTTATCAATGTCCCTGATAGAAACTAAAAATTTAGATTTTTATATCCCATAATACATAATATTTTTAACAGAATTTAAGGATTTAAAAAAGTACAATTCTTAAAAAAAAAACAGAATTTAGAACCCTTTTAGACTGGAAACCATACACCATGTTCTTAAAAGAATAATATAACAAAGTAACAAAGTCATTCAATCTTCTGTAGGCTTTGCAATTTGTCCAATTCATTAATGTGCATTTCTGTTATATTTAGAGTCTTTTAAAAGATAGCTAAAGGTACATTTTACTTTAATATCAGATTTATATGAATAAAACTTCCTTTATTGTGTAATGAATATCTTCTAAAAGCATTAGAATGACATTGTTTCACCCCATTGTTTATATTGTGTCTATTCTACTAAGAAGGAAACCAGGTATAAAGGCATTCCATCTTCTTGCTTCCTGCTATCTTTAAGAATATATTGTCATTATAAACTTTTCCTTTCATGAAACACGTATATTGTAAATGGTCTTATTTCACATCCTTTTGCCTAAAGCTTTTAATAGCTTAAGTCATTTGATCTGAAAGTCTTAGAATTTCTTTAATGATTATTTTATTTTTTATTCTGTTTTGATAGAAGTTATTTAATGGAAATTCATCATCTAATACCATAAAAAATATTTTGTTTGTTTGAAAAATTGTTGAAAAGTGTATCAATTTACTATCAAAATGATTTAATTTTATCTTGTTGCTAATAAAAGAAGAAAAATACCTGGCTTCAAGGCACTATGAATTAGATTTGCAGTATTGTTCAAATATCTACATATATAGAAAATTTTTAAACATTATGTTGCCTGTGCATCTTAAAGGGATTATAAAGAAGTTTTCTAGTTCTTTTATCTCTAACAGAGAAACCTTTGATTTCTATTTGGGAAATTCCAATTCTTCGTCCAATGCCTGTGGTTCCTGCAAGTCCAGAAAGAGTTAACAAAATGATTTATGGGAGCTAGTCGGATAAACAATTATATAGAATTTGTCCATTTTCACAATTTCAGCTATTCCTAACTGCGTCTTTGACTGCAATAGACATCTTTCTTGTATCATAGAAGTTAGTAAATGCAAAGGTATGATAAGATTGTACATTGAGTAATACAGCTAATCAGTGCCTCGACAGAAAGTCTGTAAAACAAAGTCAAAATGTTTACAGTCTTTATGTCGATGGCTTTGATTGGCTGTATTCACTGTGTACAATTCAATCAAATTCATTCAGTGATACAAGAAAGGTATAAAAAGAAGTTTGTAATGACTTGACGTTTGTCAGAATATTGTTATTGGTTACCAGTGTAAAACAACTATTTTGAGAAGCATATCTGATTCGGTAGAAGTATGTCTTGGAAGATTAACAAAAAAAAACTGATGTACTTGCAAATAAAGTAATAATCAAGGCTACAGTGGACATACCCCTGGATAAAAGAAACTTAAATAAATGAATATTGCCTATCAATTGTCTAGCAATTTTTTTAAATTTTATCCGTTTTATATATTATTATTAAATTAGATGTAGAATGATTCTCCATGAAGCTATAGTGTTAGATCAAGCACAGAGTTCTGGATTAAACAAGTCTGGAAAGTGAAGATATTGTTTAAGGCATTTATATAAATAGAGAAAAGTCATGTTTTCAGTCAAAATATTTTAGACTGACTTATAAAAGACATTAGCAGAAACAACCAATATTTGGAAACAGAAAGTATGTTTGTTGGATGTGAACTTATCATTTGTATTTTGTTCATTTTAGATGAAGTGGAAATTGAAGAAAAACAGAGATATGAGGCTGACTTGGCAATAATCTGGAAGAAAAAACAAAGTGATATTGAAAAGAAATTGATGACTGAAAGGGGAGATTATGGAGATATATTGTTAGTTAATACCATAGATATTTATAGACATTTACCACTAAAACTTCTACAATGTCACCAATGGTAATTATCTTGTTAGTTGATCTACTTTAAACTTGTCCTACATTATTCTTCCTTTTGACCTCAAGAGATGGAATACCATATAAATGTGGGTCTGTTTTTGATTTCTTGATAGGGAGCCGCGGTGGCTCAGTGAGTTAGACGCTTGCTCGCTAACCTGAAGGTCCAGGGTTCAATCCCGGCATAGGTTGAGATAATACCTTCGGATTTTTCAACCCGGTTTCCCCCTGTCAGTGATGCAGGAAGCGTCTAGTCGTTCGGATGGGACAATAAACCGAGGCCCTGTGTGCTACAGGCTGTGCACGTTAAAGATCCCTCGACATTTGGAAATCAAAAAAGAGCAGGCTAATACCGCTGTCCTGGCAAAATTTCCCTCATTGCACCCTGCATGGCGTTGCTCGTCTTCATTAGCCCACATGGTGCAGAAAAGTAAGACGTAAAACTCCATTCATTTCATTTGACTTGACAATGGCCCCAAAGAAAAGCTCAAATGTCATTTGAGGACATGTCACAGTAGTTGGAAACCTATGCCAAATATAATTTTACTGCATTATAAAACTTCAGAAATCTATTGATAAAACAAAACAGAACCAATATCACAGACATGAGAGAATGGATAAGAAGTTAATAAAAGTGAATCATAACACACAACAGGATAAATTATGAAATACTAAATGTTAAATCATAGTGTAATCTATGTAAGGTGCTACATATTTTTAATTTGTACAGATTTGTAAAATATTCCAAAAATGAATAAATTTTTTTCTAGCAAAAATTCTATTGTATGTCAGTTGTAGACATCAAAGATTTAAACTGTCTTTATTGCTTATTGTAATATTATTTTTAGATGGCTCATAGACATAAAGATAATATGGTTTCTGATGATTCTATTTTGATAACGTACTTTTATGGACAATGAGTATCGCTTGACTTTGATCTAATTAAACAAAAAATGTGAGGAAAGATATTCTTCATCAGGAAATGAGACAAAATGAACTGTTATCAATTCTTCATTATATTATTAATGTTATGTTAATAGACGGAGTTCAAAATAAAATTTTGGTATTCCTTAGCCCTTAAAGTAAGCAAATTAATTTTCATGGAAGCAGAAATGATGTAACAATCACATAATTATAAGAAGAACATGCATTGACTATATGATGCTCTCAAAGTTACAGTATAAAAGTACTATGGTTTATGTTAAATATACCATACTGTTTTTACGCAGATGAAGTCAAGATTTAGGACTTCTTTGTTTAGGAGCTCAGATGTTGGAGTTATTGCTAGTAAATTAGCTTTAATATTAAATATTGGCTTGATCTGACATTGGTTTCAAGATTCTGTTAATGCATGGTTAGCATAGGTAGTCTGGTATCTGTAGAAATTTTATTTCCAATGGTAAAGCTGCCTTGCAGTTTGCTGTTAAGTGCTTGTTTTGATTTTGTGACCACTCTCTTGTTACCTGTTTTCAATTTGCCTAGAGTTAATCTTACCAGCCAATATTTAGTTCAATTGATTTCAAAGAAATTATTCTCACAAGTGAATGATAATAACATTGACATGTTTCTTCAGGCAAACATTTTTTAAAATTTTGAACTTTTTTTTTCAAAGAGTTGAGTTAAATAGAAAGTCGCTCAAATGTCAGAACAGCTAATTCTGTTGTAATGGGCATTATGTATCTGTTACAAAACTTATTTACTCTGTCATTTGAAGAGATGCAAGTCTTAATTTGATAGGTAATAGAAGTTTCCGTCCCTTCAGATCTTGAAAAACAAAAAACACAGCCATGAAAATGTGTTAGCAATAGTTTTTTGTTATTTTTGATGTGGAAAAACAAGTCACTGAGTGGAGAGAAGAGATGTGTTTGACAGTATATTTCTGTAAATTGATCATAATGCAATCGCTGTCATAGTGAGAAGAAGAGATGTGTTTGACAGTATTTTTCTGTAAGTTGATCATAATGTAATCACTGTCATAGTGAGAAGAAGAGATGTGTTTCACAGTATTTTTCTGTAAGTTGATCATAATGTAATCACTGTCATAATGAGAAGAAGAGATGTGTTTGACTGTATTTTTTGTAAGTTGACCATAATGCAATCGCTGTCATAATGAGAAGAAGAGATGGTTTGTATTTTTCTGTTAGTTGACCATAATATATCCACCGTCTTAATGGAAAGAAGAGATGTGTTTAACAGCGTATCTCTGTAATTTAATCATGTGCATGTGCACACTGTCAAATTAACTGTTATTTGTTGTTTTTACATGTTCCAGCTTTGATTCAACTCTAAGAGGTTATCTTCAGTGGATACAAGTTGACATATTAAATTCGCCTTTTAAAAGAATATTGAAGTTTGGCTAATTTCATAGAACTTCTGAAATGTCAATCTTAAAGAATAGTGAATTTAGAGTGTTTTTTTTATATCCTTTCATTTGAAAAAAAAACATTAGCTAGTTTGATCAAAACTGATTTGCCTTGGTAATTGCCTTGAAGCAAAAGTAAATGTTGATTATCCATTTAGGCCAAGGAGACAGTATTATAAGTATTGACAACAAAAATGGTTGTAAGGAAAGCATTATGAAAAACACTATTTTTCTCTTTTGTTTTGTTGGGAAATTATGTTATATACCAGAAGGTGTCAAACATGACAAAGAAATCACTCATTTAAAAACAATCATTTCAATTTGTAAAAATTTGTTCTTTGTGGTGTTCTATAACAAAATTCCTCTCAGTTGGAAGAGGTGACACATTCGACAGTTAGCTACTAATTACAGCAATATGAAAATAAGCAATTTTGAAATGTTAAAAGCTGTTGTGTTTTAAAATGGCCGCACTTTACACTCCAGGGAAATTAATTACTAGTTCAATTCATTGAATGTTGTGGCAATCGTAACTTCTTAATATTTGAAATACGTCTACCAAGCTGTCATTTAACTGATCAAAACTGATACCTTTGTAATGAATAATTCATTTTAAATGCACACCTTCTTGACAAATATGGCTGCTATTTTCATAAAGTTACTAAATTCTTTGAATAAAGTTCAAAAGAATTTGACATCAAAGCAGTAAGTGGTCAATATGATATTCTATTGGGTTCTGTTAAATGATATTGGAGTAGTAAGTCCAACTGGTTTCTCATGTGATGCGGTCCTGAGTCAATTACAAAACAGGTAACATTTGATGCAGCAGGAACATATTTCTGTTGCTCAATTACCCAATTTAATGGACTGAAAAATTTAGCTCTAAACTTATGACACACCTGGAAGTAAAAAATGAAATAATATGTACATTGAGCACAAGGAAGTTATTAGTCTGTTGCAATGTTAGATTCTGTATTTATATAATTGATAAACCTTTGTTAAATTAAGATACACTAGTTCGACTACATATAGTTATAGATACACCTTAACACTACTGATCTTGGTGTTTAACCAATCTGTTACTAAGCCAGATAGATTATTTGGGAAAGAGCTGTGGTGGTTGTGGACAACTACAACCTTGTAAACAGGATGATCAGAAACCTAGATTTAAAGATACATGAATGGCTGTTTCAGTCTTCCATTTTCAATTTAAGAATAGATTGCTATTTTGATGTTTGATGTTATGTTAACACATGATTGACATTAAGTTTGGTATTTGATTTAAGTCAGATTGATGATGTTTGTGAGTTAAAGACTTCTTTTCTTAACTTGTTAACTCGGTCAATTTCAACAAGATTTGCTCATTTTGTAAGCGAAGTTTATTGTCATTTTATCTGTGTGTTAGGATTGACTTGCTTCTAAATCAATCTCAGATTTAAATAAACTCATAGAATGCTGTAATAAAAATTCCTATTGATTTTATTGAGTTCTATAAAAAAAAAACCTAAAAAGTAAATTGATGATAGAAAGTCAAAAAAGCAATTTCCCATTTTTATGTACTATAAGTCTGAAATCCATTTTCTCAATACCTATTTTCTTATTAAGTTAGAAACTTGCTGACCAAACAATGAAATTATGTTGGGTTTCTATGCATCTCAAAATATAACTAGTGTTGGTTATTCTTTAAACTTTTGATGCTGAGCTGCCAGAAAACATCTTTTACCATAATATTTTCTGATGTAATAGCTTTATCATATCTTTCACAAGCACTCAATGCAACTCAAAGCCGAATTGACATGGTGAAACCAACATACCGTTAAAACCATTTTTTTCTTTTGTCCCTGATGTGAAACTTACGTAAAAGAAAGTCTGTTTGTGAATACATAATAATGGATGAAATAGTAATCTTCCTGACAATGAAGTTTTAATTCTATTATTAATTCTATAAAAACTTGAAATTAGTCTGAAAGTTGAGAATCATTCAGTTGAAATAAAGCTGGAATGGTAATACTATTAAATGTTTTGTCTGGCTTGTCGGAAATCAGGACGCAAACTGGCATTGTAATGGTAATCAGACTCTATGTCTCAGGTTTAGACATCTTTTGAAATATTTTCCGTTTAGATTAGCCATTGTGTAAGAGAAAGGAGTGTGTCTTAACATTTCATTCACTGACCTCTCCATTTTCTCGCTATTGTCCTGATAAATAAATATTAATTCCTTTGTCTGATCTGTAATTTAAACCTAGACTCATTGCTGTTACTAACAGTGAATACATTGAATGTATATCCTGCTAGACATGGCAATAATGGTTAGATTTCTGTCAGTATATGGCATATATGATGCACTTATGATAAAGAGAACAGCAAGTTCAGATAACATTCTATATTTTAACAACTGATGAGGAAAGTTCAAATTTTTCTACTTGAAAGTAATGCCATCAGTAAAAGAAAGCTACATCTACTAAGTCAGTCACTTGAAAACATTATCTTTCTTTCCAAGATATCTACTACCAATGTTCAATAAATATGATTAAGCTCTAATAATTATATCAGATTGGTTGCTCTATTCATCCTTAAAGAGATACTTCCTCTCTCAAACTTCTCAAACTTGGCCAACGAAAGTATATATTCACCTTTGAATATACAAAGAATTGAATATATCCAAGAATCTATACAACAGAATCCCTGTATAATCTGATCAATTCAAAAACTAAGAAATTATTGAAAAAAGGTTATACGTGTTTTCAATATTGCATAGATTAAGAATAATTACTTAGTTTTATGGATATATCAGATCATTGAGGGATTCTGTTGTATAGTTATGGTACTGGATCATGAATATATACTCTTATTAGCCAAGTTAAGAGAAGTTAATTTTTATATTTATTCTTAGGCAATATTCCTTTAAAGATTATTAAAACGTGAACATGTGTGATCTTAAAAAATCAAATTCAATCTCGTGTTCAAATATTAATGTGCACAACATCATGTTTTATGTCTTTTAGATTTGACATGCAATTAGATTTTTAGACTAAAGATATGATTTAAGTATAAAATTATGTAAATGCGTTCAAAGCTGTTGAGTTTGATTTGATCCATGAAATAGTGTAATTGATTGGACTAGGTGTGAAATAATAGTTATATGTAAAAGATCAATGGCTAGAACATATCTGAACAAGATTTTACCATTATGGCACATGTTTGAATTCTGTTTGATTTCAATTGTTTAGTGAAACTGATGAATAAATTTTAATTAATTTTCATCTATCTGTTAATTGTCAGTTTCATAAGATTTACCAGCTATGTAATAGCTATACTAAACAAAACTTATTAGCTATGCCGACCTGCCAAACGGGATGGCAAGTTGATGAAAGCATATCAAGAATGAGACGATAGATATTATGTACTTTTGTTATAGAACTTTATCAAAATCAACATTTTCTGTAAATAATGCCTGTAATATAGTACTAATTAGTCAGTAATAACATTAATTTTTTTATTTTGATGAATTTTTGTAAGCATATAAAGATTGATGAGATCTTAAAAGTTGACTGTACTTGTCCTATTTCTGTCAGTAATAAATATTGAAAATATCAGTGCACATTAATGTCCTTAATTATTAATGCACCTTGATAACTCATGTATTGGCCATTGAACTTTTTCATCTATATTTGCATCAATTAGTTAATGATTGTTTTTATTTGCCCTGTAAACATGTTTTTAACTTGTCTATTTTCATATTTCAAGGATCCTTTGAGGAAAAGTGAGTTAAATTCATAATTACCACTAATGGATAACATTATGAATGACACATTAAAAATCTTTTGAAAAAGTTTTAAAAAAGGAAATGTTTGCCATAGACTAATTGGATCGATTATACAGATATATCTCAACATCTTGATTTAGTTTCACAACCTTGAGTTATTCTATGAATATTGATATCCAATATCAAACTGTCATAATTTTTTATCCATATAACCTGAATGGATACAATTCAAGGGTTAAAACTGCATTTTGCTGGTATTACCAGAGAAAATGAGAGTTTAATAAAAAAAAAAAAATCTGATATATTCCGTATTTAAATAATGCTTTACAAATTTCCAACTTTTTAGGAATATTGTGCTCCCAGAAATCTAAGAAAGATGCCAGAGAATGATAAACTCTATATTTGCCTAGAGGCTCTGCTAATAACATTGTTTGGGGTATGATTTTGAGCAACAGTATGTATTTGGAGACACTAGCTGTACATGCCC